AGCTGTCAAGGTCGTGACAGTTCCATTTCCTGTTCCTATTGTCAAGGTAATTTTGTTTGGTTCTTGGTATTGATTTGTACATTGGTAATTTATTTCCGTTAGCTTTCTGTATCTGTATTATCAAATCGTGATTGTCGTGTTACTAATAAAATATTTGAGATACATTAATTTGTATAATAAACCAATTAACGAAAATACCTAACACAGAAGCTCAGATAAAGCTCACTGTAGGACTGAACCAGGTTCAAGACTTCATCCACTATCTACCTGATGAGTGCCCATGTGACTTTTCACTGTCTTTAGATCACTAGACTATAAGCAGTTGAAATAAAAAGTGAGGCAACAAATTTAAAGTATAGTAAGTTACAACAATTTTGAAATTGTATCACAACTTGTTTTAGACAGCTTAAAATCAATTGTGGGCAACATTTTGAACTTTAGCGATAAGCACTGCATAGAATCATGTATCATCTTTTGACCATGAATGAAATGGTGGGAATATTGATAGAACTTGTTTCTTGGGAATAATGAAAATCAATCTACTTATTTTAGATACCAGATATCTTATCTAACAGGGGCAGGTCGGAGACCTTAACGCACTTCATCCGAAATCAAATTATTGCGCACCCCAGACAATTGCTTTCTTGTTGAACTACAAGTTAAGGCGCCCAATGAATGCCTGTAGCTTCCCATTAGTTCATCCTCAGGAAGGTATCTACCTCTAGCCATATTTCCAAGAGTTATCAATCTAGCGTCAGAGAGCTCGTTAAAATCAAAGAGTAAGTGATCAGCTGTCCTCTTCTGACCTATCACAGTACCTACAGATCGGTTCGCCATCATATAAGCCCATCCGTTGTAAATGTTTCCTGAATCTTCCATGACCAGTTATCAGTTCAACAGTTAATTTAATTCTACGTCTGTCTAGTCTCAAGAGGTCAGAGGCAACCTTTTTAGAAGGCCTAAACAGAGTAAGCTTGCTGACCTAAGAAGGGAACATCGACCCAGCGTTTGCAATGCTTTTCCTTGGCCCATGACGCAATCACAGAACATGCCCTGTTTCGGTGAGATGCCACAGAAGGGTTGTGGGCCTATCATTGTTGTCGCAGAGGCAGTATTTGCCAATCTGTCTGCAGCTTCATTACCTTTAATGCCTGAGTGTCCTGGCACCCAGCAAAGCGTAAGGTCATTTCTCCTACCCAACTCAGACACAGAAGCAAGACAGTCCCACACGAGCCTGGAGTTGAATTCGTAAGAGTTTAATGCTTTTAAGGTCGCTTGACTATCTAGATACCAGATAGTAATGGTTTCTTAGAATTGACTACTACAACCTTGGTAGGAATGTCAATTGCTATACACAACACAGCAATGCACACAACTAGGTGTTTAATTGGCACACAGCAATATTTTGTACAATAAAGTTTGATTGAATGTAAAGGAATAAACTAATATTGTTTTTTCTAGATTGATATCCTTGGTATATTGAAAAAACTAATCCATGCAAAGCCAGTCATAATTGGCACCGTGGTGAAGACCAAAGCAGCCCTGGCAGCCAAGGCGCTTGGAGCTAAGCAGTTCTAGTCGGAGGATTGTTGGGATTCATCAAAACCACCTGTTATAGGTAACTACATTTCCTAGATCTGCTAGGCCTGTACTTCAAAATAAAATAAAAATCCTGAGTAGTTCACAGTTATTTGATGATTATTTTATACAGTATTCTCAATTCAACAGTTTTAAAATTGGATTCCAATGCTATATGTTTATTAGTGATGGGTCGGTACTTCACGTCAAATGTCGGTTCGGAACCGAGAACTGATGGTAAAATGTCGGTACCGCGGTACCTTTCGTACCAAAACCCGTCACACCTGTCGTCCGCGATCGCGATCCCATGGCCGTGTAAACATTATCATTGACTCCTGCAGTCACAGAAATGTCACTGTCCTCTTGCGCAATCGCGGCAAAATCATGAAAATCTCCCTGTGTAAATGGCAGCAGGAGATCTTCATGGTATTGCCACGAACGGGCAAAACAACGATGACGTTTCCGTGACCGCAGAAGTTGATTTTGCCACGATCACGATCAATGACGACGATGATGACGTCTACATGGCCGCAAGACATGTTCATGATTTTGCCGCGATCGCAGACGACAAAAGAGACGTTTCCGTGACCATGGGAGTTAAACATGACTGTCTACACAGCCCCAGAAGATGTTCATGACCTTGCCGTGACCGTGGAAACAGTGATGATGTGTTAGTAATTGAGAAAGATATTTAGGATTTTGCAGTGATATCAGAATACGATTATCACGATATTACTTACAGTAAGACATATGGTGTAGTGTAACCAATCTATTAAGAAAACTTGGTAAAACTGTTTAAAAAATGTTATTGGTATTGAGAATTGTTTTTTTAGGTATTGGTATCGAGAATCGATAAATTTTGGCATCGACCCATCACCAGTTTCATTCAATATTAACAATTCTGCTACACTAACACTATATGTTATTTTGAATTGAATATGTTCAGTTTTTTCAATAAGTTTTATTTTCTTAATGACTTTAGTTTTATGACCGACCTATACTAATGCAAAATACTGTAAAATTTAAATATGGATTTTGTACAAAAAAAATAAGTAAGCTATCCAAAAAATGTAAAATAAGGTACCGATGAATCAATTTTGGCTAGGAACCAGTACCGGTACTGACTTTGAAAAAGTGGTACCGACTCACTAATGTCACTAATGTTTATAGAACAATTAATGTTTATAATCAATAAACAATTATTTAAACTCCAATCATGAGATTCTTTAATCATCCAAATCTCCTCAGAGAAAAAAAACTTAAAATGAAACGGCCAGAAAAATGTATTTATTACAGTTACCTCTAGTTTGTGAGAATCCATTATGTGTACAAATTGTGTATATCATGCGACAAGTCTATTCTAGTGTCGTTTGTTATGGGTTGCCTAAAACTTACACCGTTCGATTTGGTTTAGAATTACCTTTTGTTTATTTTAAATAGCTTTACTATGGCAAATCAATTTTTCCCATCCAGACGCGGTTAGATTCCAGATGATCCGGATAACTGGAGTTGTATTGTATTTTATTTTGTGGGAGAGCTTAAGTGTTGGGAGTTTCATTGTAACAGTAAGTAACAACTGTTCAATGGTTGTTTCAGGTCTGTTCGGCCCTTTACCACCGCCCAAGTTTCCGGAGCCCATATACCCTTCCCCTGCACCAAAGCCACCCTCCACCAGCTACGGCACACCCATCTAATATGCTGTATAATATGCTTGTATAAATGTATAATAAACTTATATTTAAGGAAACTGTTCCAATTATTTCTTACAACAAATTTTAATGTTCACTGTAAACAGTTGTATTGTTAAATCAATTTCAAGTGTTGTTAATGGTGATGTATTCAGTAAAATAATGGTCCAACTAGAAAATTTATCCAGAAAATATTTTTAAAAGTTCTGCTTTTTTAAAAGCTTTACCTTTATTTATCGCTGTGATATATATTAATAAAAAAATACCCATTAATACAAGTATTTTGGAGAGTATATTCAGGTTTAAGTGGCTTACAAGTAAATACTTCTACTACATTCAAGAATAAGTATGAATAAACTCACCAGTTGCTGCAAGTTGGTGAGCAGTTCAGGACTGGCTAGCTCCTGCAGCTTGGCTGTGTCGTTCTGGAAGCTGTCGACCAGACGACTGAACACGAGGCACACACTTTCTACACTCTTTTTGTCCTGCACAAAACAATACACATAGGCTTACTGCCAAGGGGTTTGTTGTGCAGCAATTCAATAACAGTACATGAATAAATTAGAGAGTCTGTAACATAGGGATGGATGAGGTTGGGTTTTTAGTTCGAGACGAGAGGGGATTCCCTTCTCATACATATCAGGAAATGCATGTTCGTAATTTTAACCTGATTTTGTAAAATTTGTAAATACCTACTGATTTATGACGGATGACTGGTTAAATACAAAAATAATAATAATAAACAAGAATATTTAAAATCTTTTATAACAAAAAACAATAACAAAAACATTAGTATAAAAAATATAATTAGGTCTACCTTATTGAAAATAACTCTTCCACATAGAAAACATGGTTATATCAGTGTACGATAAGTATACTTCAACTTTGAAAAATACAAAATTTATCAGTCTGTAACATCAGTCTTGCTTGTTAAAGTATTTAATTACCAGGGGACCAAGCCTTGCTCGGTTGTGATTAATTGGGTTTAACAGTTAAAATAATATCATGATCAGACACGTTTTATCATTTACAAAAATAGTTTTAATACAAATCAAAAAACATAATATAATCGCTGAATTAATATAAAATGTGTAATGTGTGTCTATTACACCCGTTTCATAGATCATAGCATTTAGATATTTTTACGCTAATAAATTTGTCCGAATGGAGACAAATTTTATACCTGTTCTGTTTAACTTTCAATGATTGTTGAATATTTAAAACTAAAAATCACTCCCAGAAAAATTACTGCCATAATTACAGAGTTTCCGTATAATTCCCAGTGTCATAATATTTCCGAATAATTCCCAGTGTCATAATATTTCCGTATAATTCCAGTGTCATAATATTTCCGTATAATTCCCAGTGTCATAATATTTCCGTATAAGTTCCCAGTGTCATAATATTTCCGTATAATTCCCAGTGTCATAATATTTCCGTATAATTCCCGGTGTCATAATATTTCCGTATAATTCCGGCGTTTCCCAGGTCGCCGGACACCCTGAAACATGGAACCCGATTGTCGAAATGGTGGACGGTCAAAACGCGATCTGTCAAAATGACTCGCGGTCACGGAGGATCGTCAGTATGACTCCGCGTCACGGTGTTATGGTCAAAATTACGGTCACAGCACGATGGACGAAATGACTCGCGGTCATGGCGCGATGGTCGAAATGACTCACGACTTGACTTTGACTTCCTTAAAATTTCCGAAATGTTGGGACTTAAAATCAAAGAATACATCTTAGATGATGCAAGCAACTCGTTGTTTGCCTCATGAGTTACCTGTTGAGTAGCCTGGAGGCCAACAGTGGTAGAGACTGAGACACTAGATGGAACTCCTCAGCATGCAAGTTCTGGCAACAGTTAGCTGTGATAGCCAGAGCAGCTCTCTGAGCATTGATGCTGAAGAAGTCCAGGTACATGAGACAGGCTGATACACCTCTCTGCAAGCAACATAACAATGTTAGGCAGCTAGCCTACATACAATATTTATGTTCAAAGCAGTAACCTAACCGTGGCTTTAAGTTTCCCTCCCTCTCACCAATTATACCAGCATAGTTTGATTTACATAGGTACCATGGAAAATGGAGCAATTTAACATGTCATAAGTTATTTAATAATTAATAGCTTGAGTTGCTATCAGCCTATATAGTGTGTGTAGTGCTTGATTTGTTCGCAGCATTTTTATAGCTTAACTGGGCCATTTGCCTTGTTTTTTACCTGCATTCTGTTTTGTAACTTTGCAGAGTTGGTAGGTATTTGTTAAGTCACTGTACTACGTCTTCTAACACTAGAATTGCAGTACATGCTACATGCTGTACTATCGCTCTTTTGTTGGAGGAAAAAAAACTTTATCTTACACTTATCACAAGACGCAACCCACAATTACACATTCACAGCGGGATCTGTAAAAATAACTAGAGCACAGAATGTGTTACTTAATATTTGGGCTAATGTTATGTTATATATGATTCAAAGTCAATAAATAGTTACTTATTATCTGGGCTATAAAGAACTGAGAAAAGGGCTGTATTACTCTTACCTTTTTGTTAAACAGTCTATAATTTGAAACTAGTAATCAATTAGAATAGATAAAAGTAAAAGGATTTGTAGAAAGGACAGTGATTTTTCATGTTTTGCAATTCAACCAACTGTTGTTTTATAAGTTTGAAGAAACAAAAAAAGTTTAGGAAAAAAGTTAAGTGAACCGAAGACATATTTTTCCTAAAGAAAAGGAAAGGAAAACTCCTCTTTATCTGGCCAATGTTAAATGTAAATGAGACACCACAGGTCAAGTTATTTTTAAATTCACACAGCCTTTACTAACTGTTCCTAGAGGCCCTAGGTAGCCACCATACACAATCAAATTGCAATGTCACTGTTACTGTTTTTGAGTCTACAATTTTTAAGCCACGTTTACACAAGGCAGGTAGGTGGGAAGGAGAGGTCACTGGAATTTTATCCCCCTGGAATTTTACCCCCTGGGCAAAGCTGACGTCACTATGACGTAGTAACCTGAGCGCTCTAAAGTTTGTTTGCGGGCGGTTTTGGAAGTTTAATGAAAATAGACAGTGTGTGATAAATTAGATTACCAATTAAAACCGGAATTTTACCCGCTGTCCATATAACTAGTGTTTAGGCAACTGTAGATTTACTGCCCAGATTTTTACCCCCGGTATTTTACCCTCCGGAATTTTATCCCCTGGCTAGATATAGAAATTACAGTCTAACCTTGATATAACGAACCTCAATATAACGAATTCCTTGATATAACAAATTTTTTTAAATCCCCTAGAACTCTCCATAAGACACAATGTATATTTTACCTCTACATAACGAACAAACCATATCAATGACCTTGATTTAACGAATTTTTCATGATCCCGGATAAAAATAAGACACCTCAATATAACGAATTTATCATTGTCAGAACCTCTACACAGCGAATTTAACCTCTACTTAACGAATTGTCTGCGTCTCTCCCTCGATACAACGAACCCCCCACCCCCATTATTGTTTTTGAAAAATCAGTTTCTTCATCAAATGAAATGGAAATGTCACGTCAACGCTTGCGCTAACATTCGTCTGCTCCGTTTTACACATCCCGGCCCGTCTGCTGTCAACGCTGCATTAGCGCTATATGTTACAACTGAGAACTGATTTCATTCAATGAGGACTGTTGACGACGTTATGAGTAGTAAGCTGTGATTGGGTGATAAGTAAATATGGTGAATTGTACAATTTTTGGATGAAGAGAAACCTTAGAAAGAAAAAAGAATAGAAGAACAAAGCAAAGAGAAAGAATAGCAACATCGTTACCTTAACATTCCTTTTACGAGTGTTTTTATTATCTTTAAGTCGGCTATGATTATACACTTTTATAACAACTTATCTAATATTTTTATTATTTTCAATATGATTTGTTTAAACTAAGGCAACACCAATGCTATAGTTGATGATTATTACAGTATTGACATTCCTCTGTTGTGATTTAAAGCAGTACTGTAGCCTACCGGCCTATCACGAGCAGTAGCTTACAAAACTCTCGACTGTTTTGTTTTGTTCTTTACGTGGTTTATTGCTATAAAATACAGTGTTTGGCTAGGTTTTAGGTGGGTTAGAGTAAGCTGTGATTTTAAACATACATTTTGTAACCGTAACCTGTACCAAGGTCAATAACTAGAAATGGCATGATTGCGCAATATTAAAGATCCCTCCCCTTTAGTACCCCGGATAATCGAGGTTCTGCTTTAAAATGTAAACACTGTTCACTGTAAAGTATTGTAGCCTATGCTACTTTAATTGTGTTTTAATGAGGTCCAATCCCGACCTATATTGACTGATGCTGGTTCTGAACCTCGACTTAGCGAAATTCCTGCAAACCTAACCTCAATATAACGAACCTTGTTTTAACGAAATCCTTGATATAACGAATATTTAGTTCGGTCCCTTTAGATTCGTTATACCGAGGTTGGACTGTATTGAGAATGATTCATTTTTTTCTTTCAGAATTTAATATTAAACAATTTATTATTAAGTTGCCTATCTTTACTTAATTTTGATATTCAGTTTTCGGGTTTGGGGCCAACTGTTGGTTAGTGTTAATAAGTACGTAAAATGTTTAATATTCAATTAAAACTGAAAGAAGAAAATTAAAATCATTCTTACTAATTTCCATATCTAGCCAGGGGGTGAAATTCCGGTGGGTGAAAATCCGGGCCGTACATTTTGGGCTGACCTCATAAAGGGGGTTAAAGTCCGGGGGTAAAATTCTGGCCCGTACACTATAAGTTTTATAATTTGATGTATATGTATTCTGAAATAATTCACAACCGTGAAAATACACTTTTAATTTCACCTTTAATCTCTTGAACTGATGTTGTGCAACTCAAAAGTTCGTGGCTGGAATTTTACCCCACGGTTTGTGACGTCAGTTTCGCCCAGAGGATAAAATTCCGCTACCCCAGCAGGAGTTAGTGTATTTCATGTTACCATTACCCCCTCTGGTCTTGTGAAAACACAGTTTAACCTTTTGTAAACTCGCCAATAGGGGTGTGCGAAGCAGTAAAAATTTTGATTCAAAGCATTGATCCGATTCAAAAGATTTTCAATTTGAATCGATGCAACTCGATTCGAAGCAATACAGCATTTGTCTATTTATACTTGTCAATGGAGTGAAATAACAATAGGCTAATTAAAATTTACCTCATTATCTAAATGTGTTGTGTGTTCAGTTTACTTACCGCCTGCAGTATAGCTTTGCTGTGACGTCGGGACAGCATCTCCAACGCAGTAAGGCTCTGTTCTGCCACATCCATGCACTGAATCACCTGCAACTTCTCTAGGAACACTGGCACAGCGTCCAGCACCACGGCTGACGAGCGAGGCAATGCTTCCATCATGTAGGTGAGTGCACGACACGCATGGTTCATCTACATAATACACTCATTTATAATTCACCAAAGAGTGATGATACTATAGATATGGAGTTGTTTTCAACCAAATCAAGTAATTACAAACTGGTTTAACCATAACAAACTAATAGATGTATCCCAATATTAATTTAAATGTTCCGGTAAAAGAATAAAGGCTCTTGAAATTCTGGACTAATGTGGCAGATTCTAAACTGATCTGATTTCTTGGTGTCAGCAATACAGCAATTAAGTAAATAAAAAGCCAGTTGCTTATGAGCCATACCAACACTTAACACTGTCATGTCAACGACTTATGATACAATATTGGTGTGATATACATTTCACAGAACAAAAAAAGGTATTAAACTCAATGAAATAAAAAAACTTTTAGCATCTTAATTGTATAACTTGAATCAGTAGGATTAAAGTATGATGGCACAAACAAACAATCGACTGACGAGGGCTATTCAGAAAGTATATTACATTTTTGTTTGTACTCACAAGGTGTGGGGATAGTGGGGCCATCTTTGAGTCTAAGCACTACGTCACTCAGTCGGCACCTAGTTGGGCTAGTGAGTGGTTCGTGTTGTAACACATCTAGTTACAGTGGCAATTTGGAGCATCTACCTTAATAGAAAATCCCGCTAACTGTGAGCTGTGTTCAGTTGTTCAGTAATATGACTTCTATTTGCAAAAAACTGTATTCCGATTTAAATTTATTGAAATCTTCTTAAGGTGTACGGAGACATCACTATCACTGTTATTAAATTTCAAAACAGGCTAACAAATAACCACAGTAAAGAGCGAAGTGGAAGATCCAGTCTGGAGACTCCCAAACAGGTGGAAAAGGTTGACAGTCAGCTCAGAAAGGTAAGTACTTCCAAACATTGCAAACCCTTGGAATAGCAATCCCTAACAAAGGGAGGGGGAAATTGAGCTGAAAGATGTTGCTTCAAGACAAAACCCGATTCCACACGGCGAATCAAACAAAAGAACTTTTGGAATCACTCAATCACCAAGTGACTACCTTTTGTTTCTATCAATGAAGAAAAGGCTGGCAACGCAGCATTCCGATGACGACATGCAGCTGCACCAAAAAGTGACAAGCTTGTTAAAGACCCTAGCGGCGGAATTTTTGAGGAAGGAATAGCAAGCTCATTCACCACTATGATAAGTGCTTAAATCTTCATGGTGACTGCATAAAAAAATAGTATTTAAAGTGGCTTTTCAACTATATATAATTTTCTAAACCCCTTTCCTTTGTTTATTATTGTTTCCAACATAGTCTACTTTCTGGATAGCCCTTGGTAAAATTTATGGAATAAAAATCACTTGAAAATTGGAACAAGTAGTAGGCATATGGTTATTTCTTCTTATCATAAAGTAAGCTGGAATGGAGTTTGGATAGTTAAATAATCAAAGTATGTTTTAATGGTGTTATGTGGTATTCTCACCATATCAAAGTTATGTTCCATAGTGAGCAGGGTGATGAGTGCTGGCACCACTTGTTTGACAGGGAAGCCAGCTAATGTGTCCTCATTGCCCATCACCAGCATCTGACACATCTCTATCACAGCCTACAACACACAACAATGTCACTAAACATCTCTAGATTCACCTCTACTACATGTAAGCATTGATTGGTAAACTCAGCTTGTAGCGATCCTAGTGATATTGTGCTACAACTACAGTAAATCTATCCAGTCCCAAATCTTTACCACAACCTACTAGTGGTAATCAAGGAGCTGTAGTAATGATCACACAAAAATTTTCACATTTAAAACAACTATTTCCCTTGTTCATTGGCTAGATAATAAATACATTTTTCATAACATATTTATCTGAACAACCAAGAGAATGCAATGCTAGTGAGCAAGTTCTCGTTGTTTTGCTATCAAGTCTAGGTTAAAAAAATAGTTCAAATCAGAGGTAGAATGAAGAACAGTCTCTACAGACTTTTAAATTGTTATTAACATTTAACAGTTAAGACCAGCACTCTCTGGCTACAGCTGCAACATACTATGGGATGTCTGGTACCTGTAGCTGTTGCCCCTCGTCGCCGGTAGCCTGCAATCCCTGTAGCAGCTGTTGAGCCTTGCTGCTGCTGCCCTGGCCCATGCTGCGATGTAGCAGGTGCTGCATGCGAGGGCCCAGTGCGCCTAACAGGTGTGGTGGCAGACCCCTCGCCTCTAGTAGCGCCTGCAGTCTCCCCACCTCACTGTCGTCACTCTCACTGTCTCTCTCCCCACTGCTGGGGCCACTCACACCCACGGGTGCGGCCTGGGCCGTCGCTGAGTCGTGCGGAGGTGGAGGTGCGGTCGAGGCGGGGGTGGGTGTGGGAGGGGTTGGCGTGGCATCGTCGCGGCCTGACACTGACATCGCACCCCCAGAACACTCCAGGGCCAACTTCACACCCCCGCGCGACGACCTACGGCTAGTGGACGTACAGGAGCCCGTGGTGGAACTGCGAGCACTGCGTCTCAGTGACGCCGGGGCCACCCCACTGCTCACTCCACTCCACTGACTCCCGCCCAGTGTCTCGGTGGGCTTGAGAGAGGTTGCGACTGGCAGCCGCGAGTGACTGCGAAGTGGGTATTGTTTTCTGACCAGACAGTTCGCTTTGTTGTTTCGTCCTGCGTTAAAAAAGTGAATTAGTCCAGCCCCCATATAGCTACTGTTAAAGAAAATTTAACCTACTACTTAAATAATTTGCTACGTATTAGTAGAGCAACCAATTTTACTGTTAAGATCAAGCTTCATGCCAGTTCTTGTATAGTTTGATTGAACATCTTTCCTTTTAACTATCGTAAATAAAGGCAGTTAATTTAACAAACCTAATCAGATATACGTTTCAACTGGTAGCCTACTTATACTTAGAGAACGACATTTAAAATAAAACTGACTGGAATGTTTCATATATAAAAATAATTTTTTTTTATAACCATAACATCTAAAAGTGTTAATGGTAAGACTACAACCGTTACAGGACATTGTGATTGATAGAATGCCACTTGGAAAGCTTAGTAGGATTTATCAAACTCACTGAACTAGAGCAGATATTAACATTCGCCATTATTAAATAAAAAATCAAACTAAAAAAATGGCAAAGACATCAGGGTTATATTTGCGATGCATTCAAGTTCAAGTAAGCCGACTCCTAATAAAAACCCAATAACTCAAATAATTTGTGGTAATTTGAAACTGCTGGTTACATTTTCAAGACAATCAAAGACAATCAAAAGCTGAGCATTAAAATTTTTAAGAAAATATTTTTGTTTTGTATCGCCTTAAGCCTAGTCCACACTCGGGAGAGTGCGTCAGCTGATCCTCTGCCAACCGTCTGTCAACACATTTCAGATTTGTTTTCGGAAGTTTTTGTTTTTTTACGTCCACACTAGCCAGCCAGTGTTTATCGGTATGGTCACTGAAGAGGACGTGATTTTATCCTGTGCAAACTTCTTTACTTCCTAACCATGTGGCTGATGTACCGAGGAAGAGACAACTGTGGACCTGCAAGTTTCTCTAGAAAGGTTCTTACTATTGTCAAAACCTTCAATGAGGATGGAGAAGGATTCATCAACTTAACAAGGTTGACTCTCTCAGATTTTGAGGTTCTATTAAAGGCTTTATTGGGCCCAAGTAAACAAAGATATGTACAAGTTACAGGACTGCAATTTCAGTCCAGAACTTGTGACATCTCCAGAAACATGGAGGTTTGTCAGCAGACAGTCAGCCGATCATCTGATACAACCCAATCTGAGACATCGCTAGATACAAAAGGCAACACTACGGAGACAGTCGGCAGACAATGATTCCGGAGAAAAATCACCAAGTGGGGACTAGGATTAACATAAGTTGACTGACCTGATGTGGATTCTCGCTTCTTCTTACTCTTACTGGTGCCGGCCTCGTTTGGCTGTGGCTCGCTAGTGCTGCAGTTACTATCTTCACTGTAACATCATATCAAAAATAGATAAAACCTCTATTCACTAAAACAGACAATTTATAGCATTAACACATAGAGTAATTGCAAACGCTGCTGTATTTTAGTGAGGTTGTGAGATTGAAATAATAAGCAATCTATGGAGTGTTGAAACAAAAAGGCAAATATATTCTACACAAAAATGTCACTGTACAATTATTATATCTTAAACAGATGAATCCTAAAAGTTAACACAATTTGGTTTGAAATAACATTTGGATATGAAAACATATAAATATATCCCACAGTCCCGTTGACACCATCATCGTCTCCCGAGGTCACGGAAAATCATAATCTTACTCTACAATCTTGGCAAAAGCGTAAATTTTCCAATCGCAAAATCGTCGCAGACACGTTCTGCTATCGCAATAATAAAAGCTCGGCATGACTCAGCCTATGTTCTTTAAAAGACTCTGAATTTCGGTAGCACTGATGAAAGCTTGACAGACAGCCTTTGCTAGTTTTTAACTTTAAATGGTTAAGACTTTGATCGTACTCTGTTAAAAGTGATGTTGGTAATAATTGGTAGTATTGTGATAATATTATCCATGAAGATTACAACATTTTTTAACTAACATTAGGTCTACAGAAACTTATTGACTTAATTCCTAGATTAAATTACACCCTTATGTTTCTTCTAAGTGTCCCATACCTGCGGTCCCTCTTCTTGTCTGTCTGTCTCTGTGGATGATGACGCAGTACAGGCTCTGATTGAACCTCGACAACGTGCACTTGCTTCGGAGACTTGGAACTTCTCTTCTTCGACTTTTTCTTACTGCTACTGTTACTGTGTGCGGCGGTGTGGTTCTCTACTATTTCAACTGTAAAAATACAAGAGAGCTCATGTAGATTCTCAGATGCTCGTAAAGCCATCAGTCGAGATTGGCTGAGTTTCTTCACAAGTGTAAATATTTATTATATTCCGTCTCGATATTAATACAATAAGATTAATTGCTAACAAGAATGTTTTGATTCCAGCAATAGGAAAATCTTGTAGCCAAAACACACTCTATGCATGTAGAAGAACACAAACTCATGTTTGCTCAATTAAAAGTAATTTTTAAGATCGTCATTTCACTAACAAAAAAAACAGTATAGTTGTCAAAATAGAATACTGTAAAACAATATTTGTTCACAATATTTGTTGTGTATTGTCAAAATGAACAGAATTTCTGGTTTCAAGACTCACCTGAATTGTTTGAAGCGGTGGGTTGAGTACGAGTATGACTTATCACAGACTCTACTTCCTGAAACACAAACCAAATACTCATCTTAAAGTTCTTGGCTGGTAATGGTAATTGTAGATTACCAGTAAATGGTTGTTGGAGACAGATTCTATCTCTGGTTAGTAAAATACAAGTTTGCGGAACAAACGCAAGATTAGTAAAGAAATACAATAGCTGTAAACAAATGTTCAGAGCAGTAAATAAAATTTTAAAATTTAATCAAAAGAGAAAAGTGTAAACTAAGGAAAAATATCAATAACCATTGTCCATAAAATATAGCCACACGACAGCAAAATAATACCCATCTTTTTATATAATTCATATTAGGTACATTTAAACCAACATATGTCCAAGGGGATTGATTCCTAACAAACATCATATAAAAGCTAATAAAGCATATTTGTGTTGTGTCAATAAGTAGGAATTTTTTTTTTTTTTTTTTTTTTTTTTAAGTACATCATTCTGATTATAGATTACTTGTTCTAACAGCATATTATTGTTTTAATCACTTGTTACGATAATGACTCAACAGGATTAACTTAGGTAATTGAAGTTCAAAACATATGTACATTGGATCAAAATATAGGAATAGTAAGTCACACTAACCAACAACACTATATTGGCCTTAACATAAACAACGCAGGTTTCAACTTACCAATGTTTTGCTAAAGGAACGGGTGCGACTACGACTGCTAGTGCTAGGGCTTTGGCTGCTCCGTCTAAAAAAACATGTCTAAATCAACAACCTTACTTATTTATAACTAAACAGAATTACCGTGGTTGTATTAGCCTATTTGAATAAAACTGTTAAAACAATCCTAACTAAGAATCTTGTTTCTGTAAAGAAGGCTATAATATTCTATAGTAGTTTATTGATAACCCAAAATAGTACAGGAAAATCAATTTCCAAAAAGACAAGTGTAGGCTACATCAAAGAGCATCATATTTATATGGTAGCCTAACCTTTGGAGCTGAATATGTGACGCAATCTATCAGACTAGATCTGTCAAAGATGCAGGATTCAAGTATCAAGCTGACTTTTTGGTCAACTACAAGGGTGTTAGGATTAGCCTTATATTTACCAACATTCAAGTTTTAAAGTGGGGAAAATGACAAGAACGTTTAGTACCACAAAAACAAGTAGTGCCTATTTAGGTTGGGAGGAACAAGATTACTCTATTAAATAACAAGTACATAAACTCTAGTCCACATGTCTTATAACTAAAAACTAAAACAGAAGGTGTTATCCATTTCAACCACATCTACAAGACAGCTTAAGACTTAAAGAAATTATTTTGCATGGACCTAAGTTATTGAAATTCTTTTCAAGCCTATCAATAGATAAACAAATGTTATTGTAGACTACTTTCCTGTATGCCTAAAATACCTAAATATTTATGGAAGGAGGGTAATCTGTACGGTGTACAAAATCTTTGTCTGAATCTCAAACTGAGCCAAATCCCAAATTTGGCCAGGCTCAAAATTCAACAAAAAGGTTCAAGCTACATATTAATGTAGGCTTACAAATGAAGAGAATGTTTGTAAAATAATTTAAAAGACATTTAAATAAAAGAAGTTTCCAAAATTAAAGACAAATATTACACAAATACAATATCTTAGTTTTAAAATGATGACTTTATATTGAAACTAATCAATTATAAACATCTTGGAAGAACTCAACACAATTAGGTCTATATAAAATAACTCCTGTCCTAAAACTTTGCATTGCATTAAACCATTAAACCTGTAAGAGTTTTTGTTGATTCCATGTACAGTTTTATTTATTACCGTATATATGATTTTAATAGGTTTTTGTATTATTATATGTTTAACAAAAATGGTTTGTCTAATGTTCCAACACCCAGAGTAAAACTCTTGTTTGTCACCGTTTGTTAACAAATATCGAGTTGGTTTAACTTAGAAACATTTAATAAAACAGCTTCGGCTTGATGGAGACCAAATATAATGATGACAGTGCATGGTTAATGGTCAAACATAGCCTACAGATACGTTATCAAAGCAGATATCACCATTTTCTTGCTAGTTTAGACAAAATGATACTAATTAAAGTAAACCTAATTTGTTACTTGTCAACAAAATAACAAACAAATGTAGCTTTAAAGGCTAAACAGTGAAACCCTTGTAGAGGAGGAAACAAACTGGTTAGAGAAACAACTCAACCTAACAATTTATCAGTCAAGGTCAAGTATTGGACACCAAACATTATAGCAGCAGATCATTTCTACTTGGCTGTTTTCAAACACTGATGTTGATTGCAAGCTATTGTTTGTAAACTAAGTAAACCTATGAGTTATTAGAAACTCAGACAAAACAGTGCTATTGGCTGTCAAATTATTTGTACAGATATCATCAATCAGCTACCAAATGTTTTTAATTGTTTAGAATATGACAGGTTAAATACAGCATAGGCTAAATACTGGTGTCTGTTTTGAGCTTTTTTGGTATTTAGTTCTCACTGTTGTTACTTTTTGTATACTTACATTTTTAGTGTTTATAGGCTATAGTTTCTTTTGACAAAGTTAGTAACAATTATATGCTTGTGATTTTGGTATTAATCTTTAGAAATAGTCACTATAAAAAGTGTAAGATATAGGGTTTATTTAAGTTGTAGGTCTAGCAGACAAAGTCCAAAATCTTGTTCATGTACTAGCTATATTGATTGATAAATATTTTTATTTTTATTGACTTAGTATTTAATTAATTTAATTTTTTGCGTTCAATCTTAATTTATGTTTGAGGTTATTTGCTAATGGCTGTTAAATTACAATATAATTACCTATCAGCACTAAAAAGCAAACAACAGAAAATGTCTTACAACATACAGATGAAGGCTAGATAAGAGCTATCACCATCTTAATAAATATAAAAACTATAGCAAACTATCATGTAATTTCCTAAAAAGCATTAAACAAAGAGATATGATCAGTTATAAAACACCTACCCCACCATCACTTTTATAAATCATGTTCACTCAATATGCTAAAAACACTTCACTAATATTAGTTCAAAGCACAAAAACCAACAATTAGCATGACATGGTGTAACATTCAAGAAAATGTGATATTGAAACAAAACAAGGAACTAAGTGGCCATGGAGTGTGAGCAGTGGTTGTACAGTTAGTCAGCTGTTTGAGAGATTTCTGATTACAGCAGTGCCAACATTCCCACACAAAATAATGGTACTTCTCTCAGAAACAAAATTGGTTGACATAGATTCAAGCATAGGTTATAAGTTGGTTTTAAACTATTTGTTGGCAGTTTATATTGTATGCAATAATTCCAAATTTTATGATTACATGAAAAAACAGCAACATTTGATTGCTAAATATTGGCATTGAATTTATGTAATGATTTTGTATGGATGCTCACTCCAACTTTATATGATCCTATTTATTGTCTTATTTTTTAACCATTTAACCCATTCACTTATGATTTTTTTTTTACCCGCCTAGGCCAAAACAAACGAATTTGTTGTGGCTAGTTTCATTCATTTCTGATTTAATTTTTTTTCAGGCAACATTTACTATTTATATGCAAGATATTATTATTTTCTTATTCAAAATTAAATGTAGATTCAAAATATATAAATATTTCCCAAAAAAATATAACTATAATTTTTTATTATACCGTATAAAAATAAAATAAAAAAATAAAAAAATTAAAAAAAACTTTTTTATTGGTAATTTTTAGCTACATAGGGCTCATATATGTTTTGGAACTAGTCTATAATACTGTATGACACTTATAAAAACTCACCAAATGTCAAGCAAAGTTCATTTTGGTGTGGTATGCCTTGAAACACTCTGGCATGTGAAGTGCGACAAGGCAGAGCTCACACTCCCATCGGCTGTCACTGCGCTTTCCCTGGGCACTACACACCTTACATCTTCTTGAAGGTGTTTGTTTGACTTCATTTGGAGGAATAGGCCTAGGAAAATGTCCCCAAGTTGCTGCCTGGAGCCTCAGAGGTGTTTCTGAGTTGGATGATCGTCCTCTTCGATTGTACGGTGGCAGTTGTCGCGACTCAAACATTTGCTTGACAAACCTCTCCTTGAACTCACTGAACCCCAATTTTTTTCTGGTTAATTTTTTGAACACTACATAAGAGTTAAAAAGGCCAATGTCCATTATGTAAAAGAAGATCTTCTTGTATCACTTAGCATACCTCCTCATACTAGGAAACGACGCTAATTGCTGATCCTCGCGGTCAATTCCACCCATTGAACGATTATAGTAGATCACTGGTTCTGGCTTTGTTATAATTTCTTGGGTAACTCTGTCTTTCTTGCCAGTTGATCTTTTGTCAGCTTTTTGATGAAAGGTAGACAAAATGCAAACTTGCTTCTTGTCCTGCCACCTTACTGCTAACATATCGTGGCTATAGGCTGTCTCGTAGTCGCCCAACTTAAGTTTACCCTCTTTGAAGCTCTCTGGCATGTTTGATCTCCACCAGTTAGCTGTTCCAATTACATTGAAACCTATTTGCTTAAGTCTATAGAAGAGAAGAGGTGAGGAGTACCAATTATCAATTGTCAGAGTATGTCCTTTTCCTGCCAAATCTTTTGTCATTTCAACGACTATCGCCTCACTCGTTAACAGCTTTTCCTCCTGTGTAGAATCCCCACTTCCTTCTTCAACCGGTACATTTTCTTTGACTTCAGCTCCAGTATAGATCTTAAATTTAGAACAATAACCACTTCCAGATTCACAACACTTGTAAAACTTTATGCCAAATCTGGCTCTCTTCTTGGGATTAAATTGGACATAGCCCAACCTCCCTCGGAACTTCATAAGACTCTCATCGACAGCTATGTTTTCATCAGGTATGTACAGATGGGAAAACTTCCTGTTCATGTACTCAATAACGTACCTTAACTTCCACAGTTTATCATTCACAGGTTTCCTATTATTGTCTGTAAGGTGGAAAAAAGTGGACAGTAGCAAAAAACGGCGGAATGGCATCACTTTACGAAAAAAAGGGGTCTCAGTTACAGCATTAGGCGACCAGTATGATTGTATGGTTCTTTTTTTTACAAGCGACATAAGGACACACAGTGTATAAAAACAAGCCATCTCATCTGCAGTTGTGTCAAACCATTCTGAGTATATAGTTTTTCCTACCCCGCCTGCTTCGTTCTTTTTCTTAATTGTTTCTTTGGCATAATTATTAGTCTCTGTTGCAACATGTTGCCAAAAGTCATTATCAAGAAACGCATTGAAAACATCTAATTCAGAGGGAGCTGAGCCTAAACTTCTAGCCAAACTTGCTCTAACACCAGGACAACCAGTAAAAGGGATTTTATTTATTATATTACTTTCTATGGTACTGGTCCACTGCCAACCCTCCTTTTTCTTCTTTTTTGGTGGAGCTGTATCGTTACTAGTTTGAGTTTTGGACCTTTTAGTAGGCTTAGATGGTTGTGAAATAGCTTTTTTTCCTATAGGCCTACCTCTTCCTCTAGACCTGCCCCTAACAGGTTTACTTTTAGGCCTAGGGTCAGGAAAGCTAGGGTCGTCAGCTTCCTCACTCGGTGTAGGTGAGAGGGCAGGCACGATTGAAGATGCAAGCTGGTCAAATAATTCAGGCCTAATAGGCAAATCTAAATCAGATTGGACATTTGGAGGGGTCATAGGCCTATGCCTGCCACTATCTATATCATTTATAGGCCTAGAGTCAGGGAAACCAGGGTCGTCAGCTTCCTCACTCGGTGTAGGCGAGAGAGAAGGCGCGCTCATACTACCGCGGTATAACCGATCAAGAAACTGGACTGATTTAGGCAATTCTTCATCACGTGATGGAGAAGATACATGCTGATCAAATATTTCAGGCCTACTAGACAAATCTGAATTATATTGGACAGTAAGGGCATCTGGAGGGGTCATAGGCCTAGCATAGCTGCAAGAAGACTGTTCAAGCAACAACTGGTCACTTTCTAATGGCCTAGGCCTAACACAATTAGTATTATGTTCTGGGGAAACTGTGGTCTCATAATCAATAGGCGTATTAGACTTATTACTCACTTGAATTCTGCTCCCTTCCAAATCATCATCATCACTCCAACCACTCTCCTCAAACAAGTCACAATCACTGTCACTGTCACAATCCCCTATAAGTTTTATGATGTCACTTTCATCTAACTCTTTTCCACATTCATCCACGAATACCAAGTTATTTTGAAGACTCATCGTATTATACAAAAGCTTTTCAATTGAATAATATAGTAAAACAAGATACTGTAGCTCAACCTTTATCACGACGAAGTGAAACACGACATGATAGGCCTAATAACTCAGTCATTATAACGACGAAAAAGTAAAATACTGATAAAAACTTACACTAAGTAAATTCTATAACTTATTTTATAAGATAACTACACTTTTCAATAAAATAATAAAGCAAAACAAGGCTCTAACACAATGTTTACATCGTCGAAGTAAACACAACAACGTATCAGCTGTGAAACCAGAGTAGACGTCGTCAGCTGCTAAGTTGCACCATTTCAACTTCAGTTTTTTTGCCGATTGGACTGGACTGAGATGACGAAAATATAACCAAAAGAAAGCCTGGAAATCATAGAACAAGAAGCATATGCGATCTATTGGATTTCTGGGGAACTAACTCGGCACAAACAGGTTTTAATAGCGGACGGCGATTCGCCGTCGCTTCACACAATGGCTAACGGGAGCGCGACGGCGGATCGCCGTCGTTGTAAGCGAAGGGGTTAAATATTTGCTCTATTGATAATGAATAAATGACACATTAAAAGTGATGATTACACTACCTACTTACAATCTCTAATGGTGTTATAAAAAAAATTAGCTAGGTATGGAAATTGAATCATACTGCAAATTTGTACAAGTTAAATTTTTTGTGCAAATGCTACAACCTAATTAAAATTAATTTGCAGTTAAAGATTATTAATAAGGAAATTGTATCCTACAATTTTGCTATTGTAATCAACATGTTATCGATTTTGTTTTGAATTTATAACATGTACATATTCTATCTTGTGTGTGTGTCGTCATTATTAATCAGCTTTAGACAGTTTTAAAATCTGCTTTCCTCCTGTATAAGATGAGGGTGTTTTGTTGGCTCTATTAACAATATTTAAACTTATTTAAACTTAATATTGTAACTATCAATTTGTAAAACAACTGCTCGTTCACTTCCATCATAACTAAAGATTAAAACATGCTGTAACGTCTACATTATACTAACAAATGTTAACAACTAGAAAAGAATGGTCAACATTTAAAAAACATTTATGCTGATAAATATTACTGACATGAAACACACACCGAAATAGGCCTCATATATAAGAATAGGATAATAAGTATGCTTGCATTATTCAAAGTGAACAGTTTAAACTTAAGCATCAATGAAATATTTGTCTTTGCTTCCTTGTTAGTTTTTTGTATCTACATAAAGAAAACATTTTAAGTGGTTTCTAATAGAACAATACAGCATTTATAGATTTTGGAACTCATGTTGAGCCTTGATTGATAGGAAGGGGTGGGCTCTAGGTTCAGACACGTCAACTACAGCTCGTTGTGCATTAAAGCTCTAGTTACAAAAAGTCCCTACATAAATTATATGTAGGCCTATTGACTTTATTGAAACTAGAGCTTTAAAAGTGGTAACCCTCAACTTAGCAAACTTATAACACAGAAAAGTTAGACTAGCCTTGTGTTTTTTGCGGAAACAGACTTAGTAGCAGATGAATTCCTGGGACACTTGTCAGGGGTGGCTCCAGAATCCCCCTCTAGATGGCGCTTGCTGGGTCTGCCTCTGCCTCGCTTAGTCTCCCCTCCCCTGCGAACAACCAACCACAGACAAGTGAGCAACAGACACAACACATAGTGCTCGCCTAACAACCTGAAAGTTGCCATCCTGATTGGTTTTCTTTATCTTTTTTCGTACCACCTTCACATCCTATAACTTCAAGCTAGAAAATCTGCAGGGTTAATTTTAGGCTAGCATAGTCACTTAGATAAAATCAATTGGTGATTTGTGGGATTTGGTGGGACCTCAGGAATTGAACATCTGCGCTCAACCACTATACCAGCTCATTCCCCAATGTTCATCTTGTATAGAGATTGTAGACTATCTTTGTGTAGCAAGCTTGAAGACGGAAAATTTCAGTTTTTGATTTTTGCAAGAAATTGCATGTATTATTTTTGGTCAATATGTCATCTTTAAATAAATAAAATGTAATAGTTAGTAAGGTAAAGAAATAACAGTCTAATGGAAAAAAGGATAGTGGTAATATATTAGGACATATTAAAAACCAACATAATCACAGTTTAGCCTACATCAACTATAAAAAAAACATTGCTTAGTTTAATCGTTGAGACAGAAATCAATAATAAAAAATTTAAAAAACCATGTTTTTTACACAGTAAGCTATTTTGGCTAGTTTATTTTAGCGAATTTCCTATAGTGGGAGTGGTAGCTATTACAGTATGGTAGGAGCATGATAAGACCTAGGCCCAAGAACCGATTAACTTTTCATTTTGATCTCCCCGGAGGCCAAAAAAACAATTGTTCAAATTTTATATAGAGTTATATATGTGTCCGTGAATGCGAAACTTGAGTAATTTTTTTTCAGGGTTTAATGGAATTTGGTTTAAAGGGTAGGCGGTTCCAAGGTAACTTGGATAAGAGCGAGAACCAGCATGATCGGACCATGGGAACGGGGTTTTACAGGGGTTTTATGGGTAATAATTGATTTTTCTCATTTTTGACCCTCAATACACAAATTTGCCAATTTCTCTCTAGACCGTTATAAAAAGCTTAAAAACAATAATTTAGTATATCAAAGTATTTTTACGGTATAGGTAACAGAGAAAATTAAAAAAAAATTAAATTTAAAATTCCATGTTATTCTTATGGAGAGTGTTGTAAAATGTTGTAGTTTGCTTGTTTCTTGATATATTTTGATGAAACTTGGCAAATTTATTATTTTATCCTAAGCTATTAATATTTTATAAAAAAAAAAAAAAACACTTTATTAGTTTCCTTGTAGCAGTTGTTTCCTCCAGCAGCAAACATAGGTAGGTACTCGTTAAACCTAATGTTATTTAAAAAGATTTAATTGAAAATCAATTCCAGACAAATGGAAATTTGCTTAGCTGGCAGGTTTGCTGCGGTGGGGGTATTTATTTTTTTTTTTATCAACTGCAACAGCTAGGTCTGATATTTCAAGTGTTGGTATATCGATGTTAAATATATTGAATGAGTTTTGCATCTGATTCTAGATTCTAGAATAACTTTCCACAAGCTAATTTCCTTTCCAGGTAATGTTAATTAATGTTATAAACTAATGTTCACTACAATGGATTGAAGAAGCAAAAACCAACTTGCATATCATCAAATAAAGCTTGACATGTTGGTTAGAGTAAAAGATTTAAGTTAATTTAAAAGACGAATATTGTTTCCCAATCCTGTCTAGGTTTATTACAACGGACATAACACCTTAAACTTGTACAGAACATATAAAAGCTATTTTAAACATAATTTCCCCTGAGCATAAAGTGGATTGTTTAGATTAGCCAGTTATATGTGGATCACAGTAATGTAAACATCTAAGTGTCAACAGTCAACATTTCCCGCTACCATTGTCGTTGTCTTCACTGCACCGCACGCGGCACCACTAGAAACTGCTACTATTTCAGCTCTGACAACTTCATTTGACTCACTAGTGCATTTATACAGTAATGTTTTTTTAAGAGTCAACTGTATGTTTAGATTTATAGGTACTTAAGGGTAGTGTAACCACATCTTAAACAAGCTTAACTTATGAACCTAGTAAAATGATTCATAATTTTTTCAGTTTTAAAATAAACAATATCTTATTTCAACTAATTTTAATGTTTAAACCATTATTAAGAAAAGCAAGGACCTAATTAGTATACCGAATATTAGGCATAAAAATTCTTCACAGAAATATAAAACTATGTATGTAATCAATAGGTAG